CTAATTTTACCGGCCACCCTGTTTATCTCAAACAAATCTTACTCGCAGCTCCAGGCAATTACAGTGAAAGTTTGGCCTTCAACTTGATATTTCTGGGCCGTGAAAAGAACCTAGCGCATGAAACAAAAAAACATAAGCAAGGCGCGCGAGCACCATGCATTGCACCATTCCGAAACGTGTTAAGGTGATGCAAAATCAATATGCAGCTTTTTCAAATAAAGGGTGCATTAAAATCTCCCATTTCGGCCGATGTCAGTACACTTCAAATTCTATCAACCAAAGTTGATATATGGCCACTGCCGCATGAAATAAAAACAGACGTCCAACCTGTGTTTCGTAAAAGTTGTTTTGCTTCCAATATCAGTATACTTTCATCGTGCTTGCGTCAAGACTTTCGATTTCTGCACTATTTCTGCACCATTATGGTGCAGAAATAGTGCGCAAATCTGTTCTAGATCTTAATGAATAAGGCTGATCATTACAAAAGAGATGTAATGTAACTTAAATGAACGCATGGCCTCGTAATTTTTATGTGAACAATGATACAAACAAGCATCTCCTACAAATCAATCATCATCACATCATTATCTCCCTCGTCAGTCCGTGCCAGTTGCCGTAGACTACGCTGAAAACTCCATCGGCAGCAAAACTCTTCAAAACAAATAACTAAAAAAGTTTCCTGACTCAATAATGTATCTCTATCTGTATCTATCTGTATCTGTATCTCTCGCCTCCTTTTTTGTCTAAGGAACTCAAGGTGCAGTATTATAAGGCTGGCTTTGATTTGCATCTACAGTGCGAAGCCTATCTTTTATTAGCACTGCAGACTCAAGGTAAAATCATCCAAAAGAGTACTGCTAACGACCGAAGTCTGCCGCAGAAAAACTCTAAAAAATGAAGGGATTGCCATCAATCAGTATCAGTCGCTGTCAAAGTTTTATTACATTCATCAACAAGAGTCTTTTAAGTACAAAGTTTGCAGTTTGGAGCAGATCATCATTCAAATCTTGCACCAAGTTTACCGAACAGTGTACCGAAAATATAACACAGGGTCCGGTAAGACATGCTAAGTCTCCTGCTTCGATACCTTCAGCCGTTTTTATGCACCATTTAGTAGAGCTATGCATCTGTAGTACACAGCAAATCATCTTTCGCTCTTCATTAGCGAAGAATGACGGTAGAAACTTTGTAGAGAGTTTGAGCCATATTTTGCCTCAGCAAGGCAAAAAAGACAACACTCAGCAACAAGACAACGAGACAACAAGACAACAGTTTTTAACTAGCTAACCAAAGTTGCTGTCCCTAGATGTAAAAGCTGCAATTACCGCAAAACTTCGCTCGTATGTTATTTATTCATTAACATAAATCGCTTTCAAGAAAAGATCTTATGATACGAATACATTTGAAGATAGATAATTCATATAAAATACTTGCTGCTTCTGAAAAGTAAAGTATATACCATTGTTTGAATGCCAGCGAAGTGGGCAAAAGCTGGCTGACTTGGCCCCAGTAAAAAACTTTTCAAATAAGCGGCAGGATTAAAACAATAAGATGGAACGTGCGACTCTCTATGAATGTCGACATGGTGTTGATATCGTAACTGTGGTTCCGAACCTTGACCCGAAATTGTTAATAGTTCATTGGCTGATGTTCCGGCAAGTTGCCTTCTTCAGAGCCTGGAACTCACAGTTACGATATCAACACGACTTGCAAACTATTCGATCAAATGTCAAACAAACTCTCTGCAGCAATGCAAACAAAAGTCTAAGGCTTCAATAAATGAGTAATTAGCTGCCTAACCAAGCGCTCACGTTGACGAGTACAACTAGTACTTCTGTAATTTCTCTATATATAAAACTCAAAAATTCTCTGCAGGGTATGTGAGTTACAGAAACGCGTGCCGCTCAACCAAGTGGGCTGAAATGCACACAGATGTTTTCGACCCCGGAGACGGTGAGTGAAAACGTTTGAACTTTTGAAAACGCCGATATTCTATTGCCAGAGCGAGCGTTTAACGACTGAACGCAAGTGCCACGGCTATTTATAACTTCTTCGCCGGGTCGGAACATCTGACCAAATTAGGGCGCGAATTCACATGTGATGATTGGGATTATTTTTTGATTCGCGAGCCGTGTCTGTGAATCATACGCTAAGATTTTCACTGTGACTTCGAAATTTGTCTCGCGTATTTTAGCGCCCTGTGAGTACGTAGGGGGTAAAGGTTCGTGAACTTTCTCTGCAGTCTAAATGCTCTTATGCGAACACAAAGCGGCTGTGCTGTCTCACCTATGTACTCGTCACCGCAGCTCGCGCAGTTGATAAAATAGACGGCCCCCATCGCCATGCAATCCCCGTCCCTACAGGTCAGATTATACAATTGGGCGTAGTGCAGCCGCGATCATAGATAGATTGCGCACCAAAATGTTCTGAAGATTATTTGGGGAATTCCCACAATCGTAACTATAATTCTAGCCCGTACTTCCTCAGACACTGTCGGAATGCAGTGCTTACTTCATCGATATAGAAGATGCAAAAGGGGATCTTTTCAGCTGCGCGCGTTCTGTCCACCTGAGTACGGGGATTTTCACCCCTCCTCACTGTTCTGGCACGATTTTCATAATCGCTGGAAGCAGTGATTTTCCGCGCAAGCGCAAATGATTCCTCTCTTGTTGCCCACTACAAACACGAAGGGCTGTGCGGAACATATTTAGAATGACTGCCTTCTTTGTTTGACGCGGATGAGTTGAATTGAAGGGCAAAAATATTTTTATTACTTAGCTTGCAATACCATTGTGACGTGCATGAAGAAAATATTGATCTGCACATACAGAAATGGCAACCATTCTTCGCTGGGCCTTTCCTGGTAAGCTTAGTGTATGCAGATTGTTCGTTAAGTATTTCAAAGCAACTGTCAACTTCTGCTCGAGTTGAGCAAATTATGAAACAATCATCAATGTATCTGGAATACAGTAATGCACAACATTCTGGAACTGGCGCTTCGGTCTTGGCTATAAAGGCTACTGCAAGTGTGGGCGCTAACTTTTGTCCCATCACCCTCTTACTTGCGCGTAATAGAGAAAAGTATTGGCAAAGTGGAGTGTGTATGAAAAAAGACATCTACAAGACAAAGGATTTGTTATGCCAGGTGCACCGTAACATCTGTTTTTCTGATGTATTAGTCACTCCTGCGAAATGCACCCTGTATTTGCAGGATCCCCTTGATTAAGCGTTTAATCATTTCTGAGGCCAAAGATTGCGCTCGCTCCATAGGACTGCGGATTCTTTGCAAGCTTTTCAGACTTTTTAATGTGTTTGGAGAAGAGTGGGGATCAAGCACACAAAACAAAATTCTATCTTTCATGCCCAAACTGAGTATGTTCCATTCACAGCTTCTCACCGTGATATTTCAAAGTCCTGAAGCAACTATATTGCTCAATATTTGAGCTCTAATGTGAAGATTTAGTCACGGCCTATGGCTTTTCATTTGATGTCACACGAAACAATTCCGATCAAAGCAATTCTGGAAATCGCAGTACACAAAAAGAAATCAAAAAGAATTTTTTTGACCGTTGAGGTTCACTACAGGCCAAATCGAAAATAAATATTTAGAGGGATAGACTTATAGAAAATTGTTTTCGGCCTTTTGTCTATGTCTCGTTGTTAATGAATCAAGTCAATCCTTTTTAGAGTCTTCTGCCAAATTGTTACTCTTTGATTCAACGGGATTGGCGGCTGGAAAGCGGGACTGCGAGGCCCATCAAGGCTAGGGAATGATCAGAGAGCACGCTCGCGAGAGAGACGCAGACTGCGTTGCGGGTGCGAGTGGTCGCCTTCCAGCCGACATTCCCGTTAAAATAAAGGATAGAACTTCAAAATTTTCTGATGCAAATGTGCTTTCTAAACATCCAAACATTACATATGCAAAACATTGGCAGGAAGGTGTGCCTTTTCTTTGCGATTATTTCAGTAAGTTTAGGGCACACTGCTAGGATTTAAGTACTGTATAGAAGGCAAAGGGTTTGCGCGTTGTGTGTTCCATGTCGACGAAATGATGAAGCGGTCTCTCATTGAAAGAGCTTACAGTACTTTTAAGACTTGCATGATCTGTAAAAAATGCATTTTATTTTGAGATGCACATGAAGAATTCTACAAATTCTAACATCGGTTTTAGCGATGAAATCGCTTCGCATCTACGTGGCAATTCAGATACAGCAAGATTCTAGATAACACGCAAGATTCCGCTACATTGTGTCGTCTGATACTGGGTGGTGTCTGTCACTGATAATAGCAAAAAAAACTATCTCCAGGCTTTACTTGACAAGATTATAGTCTATTTTTTATGCTAATCCCATTTTAGATATGATAATCCGGCACTTCTTCTCTTTTTTAAGCAAAATAGGACGGGAAAAGCCGTCTAAACTTCGGCAACGGGAGCGGAGTACTATTTTTTTTTACAATAATACCGCACAAAGTACTATAGACCTCTTCTATCAAGAATTTGTCAGCCGTTTATAAAAGGCAGCGTCTTTCGTAGACTTGCGCACTCCCGATGCTTCGGTTCGAGCTTAATGTTGGAACGTAAAAACCAATCAACTCCTCGATTCAACGGGCTTGTCGACCTGAAAGGCGGGGCTTCGTGACCTAATTAAGGCCGCTCGCGCCCGCGACGCAGTCTGCGTCTCTCCCGCACGCGTGCTCTCTGATCATTACCCGGCCTTAATTAGGTTCTTTTTTTGTTTTTTCCCAGCCGCCAACCAGATAAATCAAAAGGCAGCATAAATTTCTTGGCACTAATAATGATCGCGTACATTTGCAATTTCGAGGCCTACAAGAAAGGACCACTTGTATATTAACCTTTTCTCCTTCCACTTATCATAAAAAACTTGATGCTGTGTAAATAGTAACACCTCTTAAAATGCAATCCGCTGCATTCAGAAAGACCATCTTGCATTAATTAAAAATTTGACTTACGAGATAATAAGAATGATCTTTTTGCAGATATGGGTAATCTGTACTTGATACCATGGCTTCTGCTAACAGCCGTTGCTGCTGACCCGTAAGTCAAATGATTATCAAGTATTTCCATGATTTTTCAAACATTCAGATATGAGGAACCTCACACACTGGATAATCGACAGGTGATGGTGCACTTGTTCGAGTGGAAATGGAAGGATATCGCTGCAGAATGTGAAAACTTCTTACAGTACTTCGGATATGGAGCTGTACAGGTAAATATTGGATTTTGCACTGAAATAAATTTATCAAAAAAGGATAGTATAAAAAGCTGTGTATCACAGGTCTCTCCACCTATGGAGCACATAACATTGATTCAAAATAATGATATGCCGTGATGGGTCAGGTAGTAGGTTTTCATACTGTTCACACTCTACATTCCTGAGAAATTTTTATTTTCGTGCAGATACCAGCCAATCAGTTACAAACTGATCTCACGTAGTGGTAGCGAGGAAGAATTTAAAGATATGGTTGAGCGATGTAACAAAGTGGAGTGAGGTAAATATGTCGTTCCACGTGTGTTTAGTTACCCAAATCGATTTCGTCACTCTTAGAATCGTTGTTGATGCTGTCATCAATCACATGTCTGGAGTTGCACAGAAAAAAGGAGTCGCTACCAGAGACAGCAGTGGCGGTTCATTCTTTGATGCAACGGAAGGCGTAGAAAGCTTCCCAGAGGTAAGGAAATATGGGGCGAAGGATGTAGGCCCTTTGAAGTATTCGTGCGCGACACCCATTTCGCGGCATGCGGCGCAGCTGAGAAAGTGAGCGAGTTGCATCAAGCAGCCAACGGAAAGGCACCATACGCCAATGAATACAAAGTATCTGTAAAACCACCTATTATCAAGTTGATTACGATAGATGTACAAGAGTGAACGCACAAGCATGCGCGCAACCCGTTCGGTTCCCCTGTTTGCTTTGCCCTAAGCAGTCGCAGCGAGGTGTTGACTAGTCAGAGGCGCCGCTATGGCGAGCGATTCAAAAAGCCGTTCTAAGGGGTCGGGTTGTACGGAAGTACAATATCCTTTAACTGTCTAGAAGTATTGAAAATCTGAAGACAGAATATACCCATTATATGCAGCAATGCTTCAGGTCCCCTATTCTCAGCAAGACTTCAACGATTACAGATGCAAAGGAAACATCGGATCTGGGGATTATGGTGGCAATCCAGCTGGAGTGAGTTTCATCTCAAAAATTTGGGAGGGGAGAAGGAGGAGGGAGAGAAGAGGAAAGGGAGCATGGCAAAACTTAAAGGCACCGTCCCTCCAAAATCTAGAATTCAATGTTTTTGTCTCCTTCAGGCCTTCTAAAAGCCCTGATTCCGAATATGGAGTCAAAAATCCGCGAAACAGCCAAAAATCCCTGTTTCGAGAACCCTCTGCAACAAGCGCAGGCGAGATAAAGCATGCAACTGGGCGGGACGGCTATGGTCCACCGCCCTACTTTGCTATTTCCGGAGCGGATTTCTCGCTCCAGAAGCAGTCTTTTGCGGCGAAGCTTGGGGGTTTGCCTAGTGTGGGGGCCCACACTAGTATGTCATCATAATCTCGCCAACCTCCATTTTGGGTGGACGGTGCCTTTAAGGTTGAAATGACCCTTTTAGGTAAGGAAATGTCGACTTGTTGGTCTACTTGACTTGGACCAAAGTAAGACATATGTACAAGGCAAGATCATTGGGTATCTGAACCATCTCATTGATCTTGGTGTGGCTGGATTCAGGTCAGTTGATTGAACTTGAAAAATATCTGCTCCTAATTGAATTAATAATAGTATTTTAGAGTTGACGCTTCGAAACACATGTGGCCAGCAGATTTGAAGGCTATTATGGATGGAACCAAAAATCTGAGAGAAGATGTGGGTTACCGTAACGGCTGAGATACGGTAACAGCATGATACAAAACTTTAGGTCTTTGGCGCCAATAAGCGGGCATTCTTTGCCCATGAAGTCATCGACAGAGGTGGTGAAGCAATCAAGGCGTCAGAATACGTAAACCTTGGAAGGTAATTATTACGGAATGATTACGGTACGATAACATTTTGCACTAATCCAAGCAATATTTCAGATACTGCAACTTCAACTATGGCCCAGCAGTTTCGCAAGCAGCGAGAGGACATGCCAACATTGAGTAAGCTGTTATTTATCACCTCAAAATGACCGCTACTGTTAAGAAAACAATTTTGAGGGAGCTGACAAATATTGGACCTGGGTACGGTTACGGTAATGCAGAAGGACACGATGTTTTGGTATTTGTTGACAACCATGATAACCAGAGAAGTGGTGGAGGCGTGGTAAGTGAAACAAGATGAAAAGGCGCAGAAGACAGTGGAACCATATGAATCTGAAAAAATGACTTATGATTGTTTTACAGCTGAGCTACAAAAATGGTGATGAATACAAAAGGGCAGTCGCGTTTATGCTGGGTTGGCAGTACGGTTACCCAAGAGTCATGAGCAGCTACGCGTTTAATCACAATGACCAGGGACCACCAAGTGAAGGCCCTGGAAACGGATTCAAGGTGAGGACGTGAGCTGCATACGCGAGACACCATAAAAGTGTGTGATTGCAGACAAAGTCGCCAACCTTCAATGCAGATTTGACTTGTGCTTCGTCTTCCGGCTATGTTTGCGAGCATCGGTGGCCACAAGTGAGGTAGAGGGACTTTTTTTCAGAGGACTTTATTCAGGAGGAATAAAACTGGGATTGTAGTACTATAATATACGTAGCCTCTGTGCTAATAACAATGTCGCCGGCTCTCGCGGATCGGGCTTCGCTCAGCCGCGTCGCTTGTCCTTGTACCGCGTCTGGGCGCGTATCATCTCCTCACACCTAAGCACGATTGAAGTTTGGAAGGGTGAGAAGCGTGTATTATGCGGCGTATATAATTGCTTTTCTGTAAAATAGACCCAAAGCATATGGGATGATAATTTTTCATTCTAACAGTTCAAAAAAATTTTCGGCATAAATGATCACTTTTTAGGGGAATGGCATTATGGCGATCTACAGTGCAAGGCACAAAACCGTCGGAGGTAACCAATGCTTTCTGATAAAAAAATCATTTATGCAAATATCTTATAGATGGTCAAAGAATACAAGAAATTAGCATTTGCCCACCAAGGAAAAGGTCGCTATGAGCGTGGAGGGTACTTGGAGCAGGTAAGATTAATGGAGCAGATTTTGTGTGAAATTAGAGATATGCGTTCTAGATCCTTCCAAACCACTCTACCATCAGGACAATACTGCGATGTATGGACTGGATATGTGCAAGACGGAAAATGTACAGGAAAGACAATCACAGTTGGAAGTGATGGTAGGTTTAGGAAGAAATCAAGCTGAGCGCACGTAACATTTATTATTTCAGGAAAAGCACAGATTCAATTCACTAATGTCGTTGCAATTTCACTTGCTTCAAGGATTGGTAGGCCTATATAAGAAAACCAATTTGATTATCAAGTAGCACTTTTGGAGGCTACGAACCGGATCCACCAAAGCCAAAGCCAACCGAGGCTCCACAGCCTAAGCCAACTGAGGCACCACAACCTAAACCAACTCAGGGTCCACAACCTCAGCCCACCTTCCCACCAGTTCATTACGATGACCCGTGAGTACTCAGACAATCGCTGGGGGCAGGCGGGCACCGGAAAAATAGATTGCTGATTTCTCGCACCCCGCTCGCGGATTTTTTGGAAAGCAATCAGGACTTTTCGGAAGACCGCTTGCTGAGTCAGCGGATTTTAGAAAGACCGCCTGTTGAATTTTTTTCGCTCTTATCTTTTGCAGATATTTTGCTGAATCTCTGAGAAATCGAGAACTCAGCAAGCGGTCTTCCGAAAAGTCCTGATTGCTTTCCAAAAAATCGGCGATCGGGGTGCGAGAGATCAGCAATCTATTTTTCCGGTGCCCGCCTGCCCCCGGCGATTGTCTGAGTATATGAACATTTGCAAAGTGTAGCAATATGATTTTAGTCTTTTTTGAGGTACGATGATCCAAATACCTGGTTGAACCGAGAAGTAATGGTACACTTGTTCGAGTGGAAATGGAAGGATATCGCTGCAGAATGTGAAAACTTCTTACAGTACTTCGGGTATGGGGCTGTACAGGTAGGACAGTGGACTTTTGGCATAAAAAACATTTTTTCTAAGGAAAATAGGAAATTTTCTGCCGGTGTATTACAGGTCTCACCACCTATGGAACACATAACATTGATTGAAAAAAATGATTTGCCATGGTGGGTTAGGTAAGTCTTCTTTTGCTTGTCACCCTGAATTTTTGACAATTTTTTTGTAGATACCAACCAGTCAGTTACAAACTGATCTCACGTAGTGGTAACGAGGAAGAGTTCAAAGACATGGTTGACAGATGTAACAAAGTTGGAGTGAGGTGAACAAATTGGTTCTCCTGGTTCAGTTACCCAACTTACCGATTTCGCCACCTTTTAGAATCGTTGTTGATGCTGTTATCAATCACATGGCCGGGGCTGCACAGAAAAAAGGAGTTGCTACCAGAGACAGCAGTGGCGGCTCATTCTTCGATTCAACGGATGGCGTAGAAAGTTTCCCAGAGGTGAGGAAGAAGGGGACCAGAAGGTCACAATGGATGTGATGTAAAAGTTGAAGTTTACGATGAAGAAAAAAGAAATCAGAAGTAACTCAGATGCTATGTGAAAAACTGAAAATATTAGATATAAGAATTTTTTAGGTACCATATACTCAAGAAGATTTCAACGACTACAGATGTAAAGGAAACATCGGAAATGGAGATTACAGCAACAATCCAGCTAGGGTGAGTTTTTCACTTCGAGAACTCTTTTTTGGGGGGGGGGTGGGGGGAGGGGCCAAGGGCAAATTGAGCATGAATTATTTAGGTAAGGAACTGTCGACTCGTTGCACTACTTGACTTGGACCAAAATAAGACATATGTACAAGGCAAGATCATTGGGTATCTGAACCATCTCATTGACCTTGGTGTGGCTGGATTTAGGTAAGCCAATTTCACATGGGTTTATCTGGTCCTGACCGGATCCATTATCCTAGGGTTGACCACTCGAAACATATGTGGCCAGAAGATCTGAAAGCCATTATGGATGGCACCAAGAACTTGAGAGAAGATGTGGGTTACGGTAGCGGCTGGGATACGGTTATGGGACAATAATTTTAGATCTTTGGCGCTAATAAGCGACCATTCTTCGCGCATGAGATTATGGACAAAGGAGGGGAAGCAATCAAGTATACAGAATACCTACACATCGGAAGGTAAGTACTACGGTATCACTTCAGCACTAATCCAACCAATTTTCAGGGTCATTAATTTCAACTATGGTCCAATAGTTTCGCAAGCGGCGAGAGGACATGGCAACTGGGAGTAAGCTTTTATTTATCGCCTGAGAATGACCATCAATGTTAGAAAACGATTTTGAGTGAGCTGACGAAGTTTGGGCCCGGATACGGCTACGGTAACGCAGAAGGACACGATGTTTTGGTATTCGTTGATAACCACGACAACCAGAGAAGTGGTGGAGGCGTGGTGAGTAAGATTACTCGGATCAAAAGCGCACAGGGGACCTAGAGAGCTACGAAAAGCAAAAAAGAAACGAATTATAAATTTACAGCTGACGTACAAAAATGGTGATCAATACAAAATGGCAGTTGCATTCATGCTGGGCTGGCACTACGGCTACCCAAGAGTTATGAGCAGCTATGCCTTTAACCAAAACGACCAGGGACCTCCAAGTGAAGGCCCTGGAAACGGATTCAAGGTGAGGACGTGAGCTGCATACGCGAGACGCCATAAAAGTGTGTGATTGCAGACAAAGTCGCCAACCTTTAATGCGGATTTAACTTGCGCTTCGTCTTCCGGCTTTGTTTGCGAGCACCGATGGCCACAAGTCAGGTAAAGGGACATTTTTTAGAAGGACTTGAAAGGCACCGGCCACCCAGATTCTCGAGTTCTATTTTTGTCGTTTCGGGGGTCTCTCATGCTCCTGATTCGAAATTTGGTATCGAGAATGCGCGAAAACCCCGAAAATGCCCTTTCCCGAAAATCCGCAGGCTGGTGGAACGGTGTCTGGATGGGCGCGCACGGTTGGACGGGCATGAATGGGAAGGGCGGTTCCGTCTGGGGTCCTCGTGCATCTTCTTTATACCGGGACAATTTTCTCCTTTCGAAGCGACATTTTGCGCCGCGACTTGGGCAGCTTGATTGGGGGCTCTACTATCACATGCTGCCAAAAGCTCAGAACCCTCAACTAGAGTGGACGGTGCCTTTAATGGAAAAAAAGAAAGAAACTGATCTTTTAGTTCCCCTGTGCTAACGCAAGTGTCGCCGTCTTGGAATTCAACTTCGCGCGACCGCGTCGCCTATTACGCGAAGCGTGTGCGGCGCGTTTGCATTCATGCGCATTTTCTCACGCCTAAGCGATGATTAGACTCGGAGGGAATGAGGCGTGTATATCAAATGGCAAAAATCATTGCATTTCCGCAAAATACGAAAATTACAGCTGAGGACAAGTATCCCAAAGTTTATATAGAATTTAGGCTTATTATGTTAGTTCAAAAAAATTTAGCACAAATAAGTGATCAATTTCTTTAGGGGAATGGCACTATGGCGATCTACAGTGTATGGCACAGAACCGTCGGAGGTAACCAATGCTTTTTGATTCAAAAAATTTTTTATGCAGTTATCTTATAGATAGTCCAAGCGTACAAGAAATTAGCCTTTGCTCACCAAGGAAAAGGATTCTTCGCCATAAATGGAGAGGGTACATGGAGCAAGTGAGATTGATCTGGAGCAGACTTTGTGTGGAAATGAAAATGTGCGTTTTAGATCCTTGCAAACCACCTTACCATCAGGACAATATTGTGATGTATGGACTGGATACGTACAAGACGGCAAATGTACGGGAAAGACCATTACAGTTGGAAGTGATGGTAAGCATACTGGAAAAAGCTGAATTAAGCGTATATGAATTCTGTTTTTTTAGGAGAAGCTCAAATCGAAGTCAAGGGTGTCGTTGCTATTTCGCTTGCTTCAAAGATCGGTGAGCGAAATGATTTACAAATTTTCTTGAAGAGTTCCGATTCGAGGTAAAATTTTTAGGATCATCACCAGGTCCAGACCCGCCAAAACCACCAACTCAGGCTCCTGGTCCTCAGCCAACACCAGGTCCAGATCCGCCGAAGCCACCAACCCAGGCTCCTGGTCCCCAGCCAACGCCTGACCCTCGTGGTTTCACAAAAACTGTAATTTTACTCAAAAGAGACACTGCTATGGGACAATATGTGTTCATCCGTGGAGGAACAAGCCATATGAATAATGGAGGTGAAAATACACTTACTTCATCGTAAAAATGCTCGAATGCGAATGTGAACAACAATTTAGCATGCGCACGTGGTCCATATCAGCAGGCAAACGATAAATGTGCCATTCCAATCAAGCACAACACGCAAGTGCCAAGCAACTTCCTAGAATATCAGGCTTGGAGCCAAGGCGACACTTACCTAGATTTCGAGGGACCTGAAAATGGCCAACGTAGGAACCATAAAGTTTAGTAAACCTGTGTTATAAACATGCAGTTCAGAATCATTCAATGGTAAAGCAGCATCTGGCACTCCGTTGGTGTACTCAAGCAATAACTCAGGAGACAAAGAATACCAACCATATAACAAGTATGGTAGAGGTTACTGGATTGCAGAATTGATGATGGATTGTTCAAAGACCGAAAATGGATGGTTTGAGCTAAAGGTAAACTAGTTGATCGTGCGCAGGAGTCTAAGTATTGAATTTTGATTCTTATAGGGCTACTTGACCCCGAACAATCAGTGGGAGAATGATATCCACCAGGGCAGCTGCGGTGGTACCGTTGGAGGAGCAGCACCATTCCAGAGTATCAATCACATTGCGAAATGTGGAGCTGTTAACGTTTTCATCTGGGGCAATAGCGGATGCACCATTGATCAAGTCTGAAGCACGTGCAGTAAAATAAAGTTTTGCAACTTATTTTCTTTCCTTTGCTTTAATGGATAAGAACGAGGGCGTAGTGGTATGAGGCGCCGCTATGAGCAATTACTCTAATTTCACGAGTACAAGACGCAACTTTTACGAACTTTTAAGCGAGCTGCCCAGCCACCTCATTGTGTTTCAAAAAATGAAACTTATGCCGCATGATATTCTCAGGCAATACACAGCACTGTATAGGGTCTTTGGTCGCAAAATTGTTCAGGCTGGTCAAATCTAGAAAAAAACAGGTACCCTGCAGTGTAATTAAGGTAGTCCTTGTCATCAACGATTGTCGTGCATGTGTGCCCCGCATGCTGGGATTTTGCGCGAAGGAAAAGCGGAAAATTAACGTCAAAAAAGTTTTGAGAAGGAGAAAAGCGAGATGAAGTATTATAAAAGCTTATTTAAAAACTTAGAGAAGTGATAGCCCTGACTTACTAAAGCTACTACCTCTCTAAGTTTAGATAAGCATCTAAACAAAGCGGCCAGCAAATGATGCTGCAGACACAACGACCCGCTGATTGAACAGGAAGGCACTCCTGTGATAAAGTGCATATAGCGACCCGCGCATCCAGGCGCGCGAGACATTTGGCTAAGGCCCGTATGTACGTACATCCCCGCGGGGAGGAAATGTGCGTTTTACCATTGAAATGAGCCCCGCTGGGGCTCCCCTCCCCTCCCCAGGCGAACCCTCCTATGCACGCAGACATTGTCGGCGAAGGGATCCCCTGGGAATAGGGGAGGGGAACCCTCTTATGCACAAGGGGATCGAGCGGAGACATCACTTTTCTTTCTCTTTTCTATGGTAACTTTCTTTTGTATTCTCATCTTTTGACAGCTGCTTATCTTCAGTTTTCGTTATCGGCAAATAATATAAGCGTTGCAGAATGCGCGTCTGCCGTTATGCGCTTGGCACAGCCAAAATAGTATTTTCTAGGCCCTGCATAGTCCTGTAATTGTCATGGATGCTTTTCACTTGCACTCAAGCTGCCTACTTTAGCGTAATTATGTACAACAATAAAAGTCCAGATGTCTCTGCAGAAAACGGGGTAGAAGACTTTATGCTGCCGAAAAAAAGCGGGAGGGGGGTGCACATTCTATCCAGCATTTCTACGCATAACAGAAGCTGCAAATTGTGCCAGATCTCCATAAACGCTGTAGCTATCAGCTGCATATTGTCCTTTACCCCAGGGGAATGATCCCCAGTGGCCATCCCTGCTATGCACAAGGGGAACGCTTGGGAGCGGATCACTCCTTCGAAGATCTTTACTCACAAACACGGGAGTCTGCTAATTTAAATTTTTTTCAAAGCAGTTTCACGTTAGGATAACAAGATAAAGAATTTATTACATAATGTATACTTACAGTATGTTGTACCAGCCTTAATGGATAAAACTATCATGTCGAACAGAAAATGCACAACTCTCATGAATGGTCACAAACTTCTACAGATATTCGAAACTGGCAGAAACCGGATGTCACGAAATGCGAATATAGAAGAGAGAAAGACAAAGCTGCAAGCTACAGGTCGCTCAGAGAGGAACCCGACTACCATGGAAAATTTTTTAACATTTTGAACGAAATGCTTTGTAATAATTGATTTAAAT